GTTGTTTTGTTTTGTTTTGTTTTTTACATCAAATACCACTTTTAAAAAATCCTCCGCTCTCCACTGTAATGACTAACACAAAATACAGTATAGTAGGCCCAAGTGTTTTTACCCAAAAACAAAAAAAAACACAGGTTTGGTTTTATTCCTAAAAAGTCTATTATTGTAAGACCCTGTATGTATTAGGTACAGTTTGATAAACAATGTGAGCGAATATAGGAAAATAAATTACTTAAATAATGGTTCAAATAAAATGTATTTCACGTAAAAGTAAAAATAATGATTGAGCTAGCCACTAGTCGCACTCAAACCACACCTTGGGAAACATTGTCATAGATCATCCAACACGGTGACTTTTTTCAGACTGTCAAGGACCGTCCGTCATTCTATGTTCAAACAGCAATTCATAAGATTGAATGACTGAGTTTTTTGCATTGTGTTGTATTATTTTGTTATTTTGACTTCAAGATGGCGCCGCGAGAGTGGCTGCCTTTACAGCAGCTCCTACATTTTGTTCTTCTACTTCTTCCTTTCATAACTTTGCTGCTGTGAATTGGGGAATTTCTCCATTGTGAGACTAATAAAGGTTTTCTTATCTTATAAGACATCTGAGCCAACATCTGTGGGGAAAGGTGACCAAGGTTCAATGTCAGGCCAAACGCTACTTTTTCTTTGCCTTGAAAAAAAGAGACCGAATGATCGACACACATTCATGTTTAATCATCACACTGTATTATTGTTCAAAATAAATTGATGGATTATTAGTTTTTAAATCAGTCAACTATTTGTTCACTTATTGTTCAAGTGAGCGTAAAGTGTCAGAAAATTATTGCAAAATCTCAATGTTATTTAATACACATGACAATTTGAGATTTCGGTATAGATTATAGAATGGAACATGGAAGTTGACACACTGCTTTCGCGGGCCACATAAAATGACGCGGCGGGCCAGATCTGGCCCCCGGGCCTTGAGTTTGACACTATGCTTTACAGTGTGCTTCCAGTTGGCAATTCCCAAACACCCTTCTCCAGAGTGTCAAAGATCATTTGATCTTAAAGTCTCGAGAGCAGCCACTCCCAACCTTTGACCCAAGGCACACATACACAGTCTCGAAAAATCTCACGGCACACCACCCAAAAATATTTCACCAACAAAACCCAACTCACGTCTCGGGTTATTCAACATAAGATGGCCAAGTTGACCATGGTCAAAGTTCCTCGTGAGCTTTTTACAATTCTTTCATGATTTTCAAACTTTCAGGCCATGCTCAAACACATGCCCGCAAGTTTTAATGAGTCCTTGCATTCTCTATCGGAGATAACGCAAGTGCTGCTGGCTTCTTTTTCTGTATGCTGGCCTCACCAATTATCCGCCATATTTTGATCACGAAACACGATCATGTAATCGTCCTTTGCAAGATAAGAGCGACAGGGTGGACTAAAACAAAATGTGAAAATAAGTCAATCTAAACCAAAGATCCGGACGCAAGGACGGCGTGGGCTAGTGATGGCGGAGAGCAAAGCATTTCGGGGGAAAATCAAAGCGGCTGAAGCTGATTTCTCCGGGGGGGTGAGCGCGGCCGAGCCCTCCGAGGAGGCTCTGAACGGTCTTTCAAAACTGAAATATCAGCAGCAGTCGGTGCCGGTTTTCAGCGCCACGCATGATGGAAAATCAATCTAGCTCATTGTCCATCTGAGGAGAAAACGGGTGAGACAGGTCCCGGTTGCCTCCTTGAAGCGAGACCGCCCCGCCTCACCCAAACAACAACAGTGCCCCTCGATGGTTTGCATCGTTGGTGTCGGAGGCGTGTTACAACTACGGTGGCTCAATCTGAAACGTCTGTTGTTCTGCTAGATTAGGTCGGTGATTGGCCATTAATATTCATTTCACAGTGTGTCTTTGTTAAACAGCAGCAGGAGCTGACAGACTGTTTGGATGAATTTACTCCAGCGTACATTTTTTTTCTTTGAATTTGCGCATTCTGAGGTTTCTGTGTAGCGCTACGTGGTTCACCAGTTTTGTTTTTTTTGGGTGTCAGATAAAGGGGAAGCCAGGGGGATTCCCCCTCCACCCCCACCCCTCCACCCTCCGAATGAAAACAACTCTGAATTAAATGTCTTGGGGGTGATGAAATATTAAAAAGGAATTTTGCTTTCATCCGAAACTCGTATTGTTGGTTGCGTTTGACGCCCGGCGACAGGCCATTTCGGTTTGAAACGCATCACGAAGCAGAGAAACATTGCGGTCTGTGTGGTCTTTGGCTTCCGAGACATCCCGGGGGAGCCAAAGTCCAGTCGGTATAAAACCACATTGGAAAGGTCTTCCCTAATGAAGGTGATCTCAACTTTCCTCCCCCTTAATGAGATTAAGTCACTAATTAGTATAATGTGATCCACAGAGGAATAGGCCGCCCCTATTGGACCAGAAGAGTGGCCCAGAGCAGTCCAGACTGCCTCTACCCCGGTGTCTCTCCCTCAAGAGCACATAAGAGGTAATTAATTCAACACTTCTTAGTGTCAGAAAATGCTGCTAAGTGAAAGCCAATAGAATCAAATCACACACTCCAAAAAAAAAAAAAAAAAAATCATCCAAGGATCCATTTCTGCAGGACATTTTTTTTGCCTCGTGACCTCTTAGAAAGGACTTTCCCATTGTGAGAAAAAAAACCACAAAAAAAAGCATTAAGACCCTTTTGGTAAGGCATCTAAAAGTATGAGTATGGGCAGTCTCACATTGTCATGAGCTCCTTAGGGAACCACATGCAAATTTTTAAGCCAATCATATTCCAGATATGAAATATGATGATCGGTCGTGATGCACTTTTAATGATATCTGCATCACTTACAAAATATTGTGATACAAAATGTGTCACAATGCGCATCCTTCGATGTTGGGAAGTGTCCAAGGGTAGATTTTGGCCCTTAAGATTACCAAAAATAAATAAATAAATAGTGCATGACCCGCTTCTTTCTACAATGTAGTTAAGTGTCTAAGGCATGATTTGGGTCATTTTGGTGCTCTATGGTTCTTGACTGTTGGAAAAAAAAAGGCTGTACAAAGAAAGATGCTCTTCCCCTTCCACTCTCACACTCATAGGGCGGAGCTTTCCAACTGGATCCTCCGCATCCTTGTACGATGTCAGAAAGTTCCCAAGCCAGGATTTTGCCCATTTCAGCGGCCCACAGCTCGTTCGAGTTGGAAATATAAGACAACTCGGAATCAATTTTCCCTTCGGTGTCGCTCTGATTTGTTCATTTAAGATGATGTGCGACCCTCATGTCTGCCACCCCCTGGCCGATGTTCACGCCCCTCAGTGGGGTCTTCAGGCCGGTCAGTAAGTGAACATTGCACTGAGTGACCAGCACGTCGCGGGAACTCTCAAAGTGGCCGCTTGCAAGCAAGTAAAGAGGCAGCTGAGTGTCATTGTTAATGTGGACACACAGCGGCACAATGGCTAAATCGATGGAGCTATAGGGGACATCAATCTTTGACTTGTCTAATCACTCCTATTACACGGTGAGTGAAGGTAAGGAAGCGAGGAAGCAACGGAGGCACTTTCTCTCGGAGCTTTATTGGCCTTTCCAGCAATTCTACCAGGTCGTCCTATCCTTTTGAAGCCTTTGTTTGACAGGCAGCCAAGTGCCCAGCCGTCCTAATTCACACCAAATCGGCGGAGGGTTTTGAGGTAAAGCCTCAGAAGTGCAGCACGGCAGCTGGATGCACTTGGCATTGCTCGTGCGTTTCTATCCCCGCCTCTTTTCCACTTCGGAAACTCTCACTTTCTCTCTTGGAGCCGCAAAACATTGTGCCTTTGTTTTTTTTTTTTTTGTTTTTTTTTTTTAAACAACAAAAGCAGACTGCTCTGTTCAAGAGATCGCCTCCTCAATCCCATTAGCATATATGCGCGCCTGGGAGTAAATACATTCCACCAAAAACAAGAGCGATCAAAGGCGACAGAATTAAGCCCGAGTAATGAGGATCTTGGCGAGCACCCTGCAAATTTATTGATTGTTTGCCAAGCTGTACGCACTTCCTCCCCACCCCCAAGTCCTCTTCCCTCTGCGCTTTGACGCTCATGATTCGAAGGCGCGCAACACATACAACCGGAGTGTCGCGAGGGGTTTTGAACTCGGCACCTTGCACGGCCACGACTCCACTATTGCGCTTCGTCGCCATCTGGGCAAACGGGGAACTCCATCGCAGCTTTACATCGCTGCAATAAGACAGGACTCTTTAATTCTTTACGACCTCATTGCGGGCGGAAACGCGATGAGGATTGAGTGCATCTCTGTGGGGATTTGATGAGCTACAAATCCTTAAAAAAAATAAAAATTAAATACATTTTCTGTTCTAAATCCATGAAACAAGCAGCCCAAAAAAAGATGACGTGGATTCCATTTTAGTTTTTTTTCCCCTCTTTTCAATTTGGTAGAGGAGGAATGAGTTACATTATAACAGATTTAAAATCAGATGAAGTCAAAAAATGTGTACATAGAGAATAGATTAGATCAAAGCGAAACCATGAAAGGAATGAGCCACGATTCAGCAGATGAGGAAAATAGGCCAATGAATTGAATGCCAAAAAGCGTACAACTCCGCCAAAAGCCGAACATCTCTAATTTGTCACCAGAGTGACGACAGCCGCCCCTGACATCCTCGAATTAACATATTTCCATAAATCATGTCCAGGGGGCAACCATTGACTTAACGGCCGCTTTTATGTGTAGAAATCGATTTTGAAATACTGCTGGTCTATTGCTGTTCATGCCAGGTGAAAAGTGGAGTTTAAAACAAAATACAGAGGACTCTTTTTTAACAAAATATTCAGGAAGCAAAAGCAAGAAAGAAAATCGTTTTGCAACATTGGAACATAAAGCGGACACACACAGATGCAGTCGCATCTCCTTGAATGCCGTTTTCAAACAACCCGAGATCATCCTCGAAATCAACAGCAATGAAAAACCTTTCCTATCTGAGGTCAAAAAAAGAAAACGGTTACCTCCACGGCTCTCGCTGTCGGCCGGTTTCACCTGGATGGGGCGAGTCATCTGTAGAGACGGAGACAAGAAAGACGAGGTTAGGACCGTTGATTCCATCCACTGATGTTCACACGCTGGCGGCCATATTAATAACTTCTTTTCAAGTACAGATAAAAGTGTCATCGACGCTATTTGTTGTTCACCAAAGCTGTCTTGGAGAGCCTTGCGAGGTGGTCTTAGTGAGAGGGTTGGAGGGGAGATTGAGTATGGGAAGGGAAGAAGCAGCCCTAATAAAGGTGAATCCCGCAGCAGGACGAGCGAGAGCAGGATCGATGCGGGCCTATCGATCGGGGACCCTTGAGCCGCCGCAGAGTGTCTGTCTGGCTGGGAAGGATTCTATGGTGAGGAGGCTCAATCTAATCCACTGGACCCCGATAAGAATGGCATCGCCTGGATTAGGCAACTCTGTCGCCGTGGCCTTTGTGTCACACTGTCCGCCTGTCGCACGTTCGGATGCCTGGCGTTTGTTTCATAGTCATTTGGTGTTCGAGCTCGACAGAAGTAAAAGTTTCAACCGCCACCGATTTCGGTTTCAATCCCAGTTTTGTATTGAGCAGCCGCATTATGGATCTGCTATCGTCGCGAAACCCCGCACACTGTTTTGGATGGCACGTTTCTTTCTTTGAGACCGCAAGCTAGCTGATATTGAATCAATAGCGCCTTTAGTAAAAGTTATAGCATTAGTTAAGTCATAATTACAGTAAGTATTTGGATGAAAAACACCTGGCCGTGAATCTAAATCAAATGAGGAAGAGTAATTACGGCGGCAACTGAGCTCGCTTTGTTGTGCTACGTGACCACACCGTCGTACAACATTAAATGACACCACGTCTGTCCAAACCACCCACTTAGTGTCCAATCCACAAGACACGATCAATTCCAGACATTTAATCAAATTAAGCAAGTATATACACACACACACTCCTTGTCATCATTGTCCCAATGTGATTCTGATTCCCTCCAAACTATGAAAGTGCTTCACCAAATAACTGAAATGTGACATAGTTTGTATCATGGCCGACAGTACGGTTTCAGCTTGGGCCTTGTACTTGAGACGTGCAGAATGAGGGTGACAAATTTGCAGCATTTTGTACTCTGCTAGCTGATATTTTCATATGTGTCAAAGTCCAGGCCCGGGGGCCAGATCTGGCCCTTAGCTGATATTTTCATATGTGTCAAAGTCCAGGCCGGGGGCCAGATCTGGCCTGCCACATCATTTTATGTGGCCCGCGAAAGCAAATCAAGCGTGTCAAGTTCCATGATGCTTGCTAATGTCTGAACCAAAACTTCAAATTGTCATAACATAACAGTCATTATTCTTGAGTTCTGATTTTTTAAATAGCTATCCATCTATTTGTTGTGCGATGTGTATGTAATATGTGGAGGTGATTAAACATTTATATGGTTTCCCAAAATTCATAACGGCCCTCGAAGGGAAACCCGAACTACTATAAGGGTGAAAAAGAAACGCAAACAAAGAATCAGGAAGTACCATCCGTGTAGTTAGAAAAGTTCATAGATGTGCGTGCGGTTCAGAAATTCTGGGGGTGTGGTTACGGAAGTGACGTAATTTTACCAAGCATAGACCTTTCCTATTAACTCTTAACTCTTTTTTGAGTTTGACATTTGACAAAAGTTTCCCCACTTCATTTCGCCGAACTGTCATACTTGACTTGTTGAAAACCGTTTGCTAATTTAGCCATTTGCACATATCTATGGAAAAATGTCACCGCAAATGCTTTGATGTCATTTTGAGCTGCGTGTAAACACATCATTTTACCTCGCTCCCGCCCCCCTCCACAAAGCAGAGAGAAACATTAACGAGAGACTCCGGGCTCGTAAGTGTCCTTAATGGCAAGCCATTACGACAGACGTGCATTGTTGACATGGGCACGATTATGAGTCGGCTTAAACATTTTCAAATGTGACTGCGAAAATCACAGACTGACATTTGCGCTACGAAGGCACCTCATAGCGCGCTCCGTCATCCAGCGATCAGATCGTGCATTCATGCGTAGATCCTCTTCTTATTTTCCCGAATCAATAATCCCAGTCAAAACCAGATGAGAAATTTGCGTTCCTTCCATGTATATTTTGTCAGATTGTCATCCTGTTAAATTGCAAGCACGGCTGTGCAAAAAGGTCAGATTTAAAGACAGGGCAGTCCAATAAAAGCATGACATGTTCAAGGAGAAACACCATAATGGGATTTTAAAATGTCTTAATAACATGCTGATATATGGGGGGGGAGAGGCTTGGGCCTTATTCATTAAGTGCTAAACGTATCCATTTTCACCTTGAGGAAGAGAGTAACCTTCCCTCGCTGAAATTATTCCATAAATGTACCCGTCGTAAATAATAACTAGCGGTGGATACGTCTTTGTAGGGAAAACAGGGGAGGGTGTTATGCTTGCGAGGGGGTGCGGTTTTCAGCTCCCCTCCCCGATCTATATGTTCTTTCTTCCCGTCACAAAGCAAAAGTAACAAGTTCGCTAAAGCTGAGGTAGGGGCGCACTCCGCTCCGTTGAGTCAAACGCGTCAGTGTCATACACACTTGTACCCCGACAAAAGGAAAAAAAAAAAAAAAAACTTCCTCAAGACAAGAATCACATCCACAGGAAATCTTGGGATTCGCCTTTGAAATGTCACACGGACAAAAGATGCCTCGGCGGAGCCGCTTGACTTTTTGTTTTCCGACACATGACGGAGGAGGCCAAATCCGTCGCCGCGCTATGATCTCAGCCGTCTCCGCGGGGCACCCGCGTGTGGGAGGCAGCTCGCTCTTTAAGCTAGTTACTGCTTACTCTCCAACAGCGGCTTAATGGCCAATTTATGTGCCCAAGAGCAATGCATGATAGTCCTTAACTGCCATTACCGATGGGTTCGGTTTGTTCCATTCCCCCCACCCCGAAAAGCCAGAGTGTGGGACTTTCACAAATAAATGAGCGTCTGTTATATCCAAGCTGCTAACAAATGCACACAATGCTGATCAAGCCTGCCTCCGATAGGAGATGGGTGCGGGGCTTATTTCACTCTGTGTGATTGGACGGCTCCTGTGCTTACTTGGCAAAAAAAAAAAAAAAAAAGTACTAGTATTATAGGCACACAAAGAAATTAGGTGTCATGTTTGTTTGTTTTTTAATAATGTGAATTGTGTTATTCAAATGAGGTTGTTATGTGACATTTTCTCTGAAGGAGTGGGTTGGGTGGGAATCTCGCAGAATAGAATCCAACCAAAATTTTCCAGAGACATATGCCTCAAATGACTGGTTAGTGCGTCAATCTCACGGTGCGGAGATACAGGGTTCGATCCCGGCTCCGGCCTTCCTGTGTGGAGTTTGCATGTTCTCCCCCTTGCCTGCATGGGTTTTCTCCGGGTACTCCGGTTTCCTCCCACATTCCAAAAACATGCATGGCAGGCTGAGTGAACACTCTAAATTGTCTCTAGGTGTGAGTGTGAGTGCGGATGGTTGTTCGTCTCTGTGTGCCCTGTGATTGGCTGGCAACGGGTTCAGGGTGTCCTCCGCCTACAGCCTGAAAACAGCTGGGATAGGCTCCGGCACGCCCTGTGACCCTTAAGTGTCTTAGGTAAGATTTGGGTCATTTGGATATGCCTCAAAATTCTTGAAACTGCTTCGTTTTGCTTTACAGAGTCATCCATCTTTTAATTTTCCAAACCACTTTTCTTTAGGGTGAGATTGATTTGACCTTGGGCGAGAGGCAGACTGGTCACCAGCCACTCGCAAGCCACACATGGACAAACAAGCGCACTCACATCTGTGGCCAACTTACAGTCTTTAATGAACCTAACTGGCATGAAAAAATAAATAAATAAAATCAAGAAAGCGCGCTGGTGTGTGCTGACTCCGATTTAACATTAATTTGATTGGTGAATTCGAAAAACACGTCGGCATTCTCGTGTAGCCACATTAGCTCCGTTCAGCTCCACTTCACCCCTGAGCCTGAAAAGGATCAGCGGCAGGAAAAAGATGAAGACATTGGAGTCACTTTGAATGTCTCCGATGCATGGAACTGGGAAACTAGAAACATTTTAAAACCACAACAAAGATGATAAATCATACAAAACAATCGTATAGCGTTCGGTATGAAAAGCCAAACAAACTCGAAACAAACGCTGCCTTGCGACAAACATACTTGTTTCCAATTTCTTGGAACAGGTGCGTTCCCTAAATCATTTTGAAATGTGAAGCCACATGCTGCTTCACCATATCCAAGGGCCCAGAAATCTTCTTATACGTAGCAGCTTTGTCTAATAAAATTTGAATTTGACAGATTCTTGTGATGGGAATTCTTGTTTTGACCAGAAAACGTACGCAGAAAGGAATTCAACCAGAGGACCCGCCATCAAAGACAATATGAGAGCGACAACAAGACGTATGCTGCATTTTGTTGCTGACCTTTCACTTTCCGTGAAGAGCAACATCATCAGGGAATCGCTCTGTCCTCATCAGAGACAAATCTATGCATGAGTTCGGTATCACCGTAAATGCCTAAAAACTCTTATAATCCATCATCATTATAAAACAAAAATTGAAATTCTATCCGATTCCCTAAACGCGGTATTTAGTGAAGTCTGGAAGGAAACCAAAGCGACTGAAAACAAAAAGAGTGAAGCACAAGCAAAACTCAACACAACTTCACCCAGGAGATGAAATCTGAACCCCAAACTGAAGAGCTGTGAGGCAGATGGGCCCAACCGCTGGGTACAACACAAAAATATAGATGATTACGTCGTCAAACAAGGAAGTAAAATACAATGACACGATGAGTCATCGCCGTGTTGACATCAATGCAAAAATGACTCAATCATGAGCTCAATGATGACTCACGGCAGTTCTTGTACATTTTTCTACCAGTCTTAGTGAAGTTGCAAGTTTTGAGCTAAAACTTTCCCTTTGCTGCTTTTCAGGCCTCCGGAAAATCTATAATTCCATATGCCTTCATTGAGCCGTTTCATTTGCTCACTTAAGCCTCCAGTCGGTTGAATG